GGTGGGGGGTGGGTAGGGGAAATACACCAAACATTGAAGGGTCTCTGCCCTAAGGTACTGACATAGGCGAAAAAGAAAACGTTTTGTCAGTCAACTAGAGATTCAGCCAAGGCACATTTAGTGATAATTATCTCCTTGAAATCTATACGCAAGGCTTTTTTACACTAGCTTCCACCTAAAATCCCCCTAAGGATTAGATGCATTTTAAAAATCCATGAACAAAGTATAGGCCAAAATAATTACCTCTTCCTTTTCATGCAGCATAATATGCGCTTTGAGACTAGCCACTCTGGAGAACTTCTTGTTACACACAGGACAGGTAGGGTCTTCCCCATTGTGGGTGCATTTATGAAGTGTCAGGTTGAATTCAACATTAAATGTTTGGGGGCACTGGTCACATCGATGTGGCTATTTGGAGAGAAAAGTCAAGAAGCCACTGAAACACAATCTTTCCATAATAAATGTCATTCAAATATCAACAAGTACCACGATCTACAACCTTTCTAAGGAATTTCTGAAGTCTCTTCTGGACCTGAAGTCAATAAATCCAAAATGGACACAGCAAAGCTCCTTGCAAAATTCCTCAGAAGATTATAAAGATGACAACACGTGTATGTAGAAAATATCTTGAATAAGAAATGCTGCATATAAATGCATCAGGATATAGTCTCTATGAAAATAAACGTGGGGCACCTAGGTGGCTCAGTCGGTCGAGCATCCGACTTAGCGCAATCTGTGGGTTCAAGCCCCACGTTGGGCTCTGTGCTGACAGCTCAGAGCCCGGAGCCTGTTTCAGGTTCTGTCTCTCTATCTCTGCCCCTCCCTCACTTGTGCTCCTTCATGCTCTCTTGCTCTCTATCAAAAATAAATAAATAAACATTTTAAAAAATATATGTATGGGTGCCTGGGTGGCTCAGCTGGTTAAGCGTCTGACTTCAGCTCAGGTCATGATCTCACAGTTTGTGGGTTCGAGCCCCGAGTAGGGCTCTGTGCTGACAGCTCAGAGCCTGGAGCCTGCTTCAGAGTCTGTGTCTCCCTCCCTCTCTGCCCCTCCCCCACTTGGGCGTTCTCGTGTTCTCTCTCTCTCTCTCTCTCTCTCAAATAAATAAACAAACAAACAAACAAACATTAAAAAAAAAGAAAAGAAAAGAAAGGGGAGAAATTTCAACTCACTGGGTTGGATTTTTCTGTTCTTTTCTGATCAACTCTACTGCTCTGAACAATATCACTTCGAGTAAAACAAGTAATCAACGTTTTTAGGTTTTCAGAGAGTTGCTTCTCACAGTCTAAAATTTCCCCCAAATGAAAAGTATTCTGCCACTTACTTGTAGAAAGATAAAGTAATCGCTGGCATTTCTGAAGTATCAAGACCCTGAAGAGTCAGTATTTTCAGATTTTCCGCTTGGGAGGGTAGTCCCAGTCAGTACCAGCACTAACGTTATTATACTCGGTCATATGTTATCTCTAATATTCGCACTGCAGACAAAGCCAGAGTGAGTCACCTCTTGTTCTCCAGAGGAGACTTCCCTGGTCACCTGAACTCGAATGGCTCACCGGCTTACATTCTCCTCATCCAGAGGAAAGTCAACAACCACTTTTTAATGGTGGTCCTAACTGCCACTTCCTATCTATCGGGCAGATCATTCCATTAAGACACTAATACTCTTAACCTAGCCCACAAGGGGCCCTGAAAAGAAGGATTCAAATCTCTATTTAAGATAGTGCTGAAATTCGATCTAAAGTATCTGGAATCTCTTATAAAATGCAAGACACCTTAAGGATAACGCTCCCTGCTGGAGAAAAACCCATCAAGATACACCAATGTTGTGTTCAGGCATACAGAAACCGAACTACTGAAAGTCCCGTTTCGAGATTATTTCTTTTGTCCGCTGACAGAGAACTTCAACACCTAGATTCCCTAGGCAAACCCCCCCTTCGTCTCATTAACCAATATAATGGCTAGGAAACGACTACAACTTAACACAAAACGTCAAAGATTTATTGACGTAAGATAAAACGCTCCACTACTGAGGAATCTAACTTACAAGGACAAGTTTTATTTGACGTGGTGATTTTCACAATACCTCCAGTTTCAACGCTCACATTTCTGACACCCCTCTTGAGAATACATACCTTGTCATTTCGCTCGTGATCCCTCATGTGGCGTTGAAACTGGGACTCTTTTGGAAAAGATAGCAGACAGATTTCACACTTATGGAAGTTTGGAACTTGATAGGCATAATTAGTGTTCTCCGCATTCAATGTTAAAACTCCATCTATAAAATTGCATAAGTATAGACAATAAATACCAGTTGTTATTCTCATCACATAAATAAAACTAAGTTATTTGGTTATTATTTAGAAACCAAATGACGTCAGGGATTTATGAGAGAATTTAGAAGAAATTAATGGTATCTTAAATGTTTTAAGCGGACACGTTCTTAAGTTAGATATGAGAAATGCTGGGACGCCTGAGGCACAGCAGGAAAGAATTCTAAGTCCCCGTGGTAGGGTTTTTAGAAACCTGAAGCTAAACTCCTGAGCTTGATATCCACGCAAAGACACACGAAAGCCAAGTCTCTTAGCCTTGCCTTTGGGCTTAACATGGTTTCAAAGTCACCTGAAATTGCAGAGGCATTTCACCTCTAAGCCACTTTGAGGATTCACCAATAACCCCCACTGTTCTTCTTCCATCACGCAGCAAACAAAACTCAGGTGGAGACAGAAAAGCTAACTAGAGCACTCAATCCACCTCTGAAAACTGCCGCAGAGCAAGATAAGTCAAAGAGGAGAAAACTCGTCCCCCGATGGTTACTGGTCAGACGGACAGAGGCCAGCAGTGCTCCCTCCGGATGAGCCCTGGGCCTCACGATACGCTTCTCGACACCACTCAGGTCAACAGCTACAAACATAAGAGTATTTTCTAATAAAAATATGCAATAATCACAAAAATTCGTCAAGAATTTCAGGAAATAAAGATGTCCAAAACTGCTACAACTCTTTAAATAAACTCCAAGTCTTACTATAATTTAGACACAAATACATAATACATGTTAATGATACAAGAGCTAGAAATAACAGCACGTACGACTCTTCGTATCAAATCTGACTCAAAAATATTAAAATTTAGAAATCTGGAAGTAAAGTAGGGTTGATTTTAAGACTCTAGTGTTAAAGTAAGCTCCAGAAAGTGTTCTATTTCTCATGGAATGCCATGGTAAACATGGGCATTCCACATTTTCAAAAGACCTTTAAATGCCTCCCTTGAGAAAAGAAGCCACAGTTCCAAGTTTGGCCAAAAGTCCTTCTCCTAAGGTGCAAGTGCCCTGAAGGAGAAGTGTGGCCACAGATGGGGGGCGGGGCAGAGGCCAGGCCACGGAGGAGGTGGGGTGGCCGGGCACAGAGAGTGGGTGGCACCTTCAAGAATTCCTCCGGCGGACCCCGGGTAAAGCCGATTCGTTTCTAGAAACACTGGCATAGTTCGATAGACCACAACTTCATCCAGAAACAAACGGGTCTACTACAGAAAAGATGCACATAGCTTTTATTCTATTTGTCTTCAACTATATCCACATTCTGTTCACAGACATGCATTCAAAATTTCTACAGTAAATTAGTAACAAATGTTTTAGGACTCCCCAGGTCCCCCCAAAAATGGTTGCTGGGACATCAATTGATATATTATTCCCTTTGGAAAAGTTTGTACTATGGAAAGAAACAGTTTGGGAGGTTGAGAATGTTCAAGTAAAATATCTGTTGAAAATTGTGTTTTAAGAACTCAGTAGCAACTGCTTCCACCAAATGGCTGAATACAGAGGTGACAGAGCTCCTCAATAAACACAAAACTAAAAGGCTACTTCAGGATGTAGAACGAAACGATGTTCATAGCGTCTATGCTGAAACTGCTTAATGACAGCCCAAAATGAGAAAGGATGTAATTATGTAATTACCTGCAACTAACAGATAAAACCCAACAGATAAGAGACTATACACTCAAACCTGAAAATCACATTGTTTTGCTTATGAATTAAGACTTTTCCAGGGAAGATTTTTATCTTAAGAAGCAAGACCTCCCTCCTTAACGAAGCTCAAAACATACTAAAATCATGTTTTCAGTATGTCCCTTCCACCAGCGATAATACACTATTAATTTGGTTCAAACACAAACTTAAAATGATAATTCAAATCAAAGCATAACTACAAGGGAAAAACATGTCTTAGTTTCCACAGAGAGGATAATTTTAAAATCCACAGCATCTCTCGACTTTTGCTCTGCTTTGGGGACACAGGCTTTGCACACGTCATTTCTCTGCACTGAGAAAGTACGAAGCCTTCCTCCCAGGGCGAGGTGGGCTCTATCATTCACACTGTTCTTTCCGGACAGCGTCCCAGGCCTTACAAAGAACTCTTTCGCCTATCACCTCTTCAAGTTCATTCGAATGTCCAATTTCCGGTCCACAGAGTACCTGTTGTTCAGAAAGAAGCCTATGAAACAAATGTATCCTTAGGACGAGCTTAGGAGGTCCACAAACCCTGTGAAACCCACACGTCCACACACTTCCCATTGTGCTGGGGGAGAGGTAGCATGTCCACAGCCACAGAGGCCACCAGATTGTTTAAGGGGCCACGGATCTAAGTAAGGTGTGATCACACGAATGGTCCGCCCTCCTGGGGACAGCTGCATTGTTAAGAAGCGGCCCGAGGAACGTCACGTGACACTCAGGCAGCACACGTTCCTGATGCTGTCCAAATCAGGTCGGTGTCCTCTGTACCCGACTCCACACACGCAGAGTAAGCACAGAGCCACCTGCATCCAGCAGGGCCCAAATCTAAGAGTTCACCCAGGCCAGGATTTTTCAAGTACGCCTTTCTGCCCGTCCCTGCCCCCAGAGGCAGGGGATGATCACTCCGAGATCAGTTTACCCAGTCACCTAACACACACAGGCACCAACACATTCTCTTCAACTGTCCGCTCTCCCTGACTCCAAGGACACAAATTCACCACCAAATTTAAACAAACACTGACTGTACAAAGATCAGAAATTGAGCAGGGGCGTCTGGGTGGCTCAGTCAGTTAAGAGTCAGACTCTTGAACTCAGCTCAGGTCAAGATCTCAGGGTCTGTGAGACCGAGCCCTGTGTCGGGCTCTACGCGGAGGTGGAGCCTGCTTGGGATCCTCTCTCCCCCCCGCCCCCCCCCTCTCTCTCCGAAAAATAAATAAACTTAAACAAAAATTGTTTGAGCAGCTTTGTTTTCCTCGAAAAAAATGTGAATGCTAGTTTCAGAATCATTTAACTCCACACGGAGATTCTCAAGAGTATATAATAACTGACCAGGCCCAAAACAATAAAGCCTCAGAGTCACTCAGGTGAAATGAGACAGATAACGCCTCCTGGCACTACGAGGACAAGCCTGTCAATGACTGAGGCG